TCCGACGAAAGCCTGCCATGCAAGAAGGGTATTTGGTGTATCGTTCCAAGTACCACTCGAGACGAAATAGAACCATTCTTTCCATCACTTTTCCGAGGCAGCTTGCGAGGGCAATAGGGCGATACGCTGTCAAATCCAATAGTGATTTTCCCAATTTCAAAAGTGGTATTATTCGACTTATTTTTCATTCTCGGGGAACACTGCCGCAGAGCCAGGAGTTGTTGAAGCATGGTAATTGTTCTTTTTTGACTTTTTGTCCAAGGGGTCCCAACGCACTATAAGTAATACCATCAGGACCTGGCGATGACATGCGCTTAGAAGCGACTAACGCACCTTCCAGTTCTTCCATGGTGAACGGAATGTCCATTTCTGGTAATCGCGTCTCAGAAACGGTCACGGCGTCGATGCTGTCGTTCATAATATTCCCGGCAACTCTCGTGCAAAATTCTTCAGCCACCTCGAGTTCTGTTTTTCCATGATGGAGTGCCAAAGCTTTAAAAGGGTGCCGTTGTTGCGGAGAGGAGCGAAGACCACGAACCGTTCTCCATATATATGACAGCGGTTTATGAGGGTCTAGAGATTCGCAGAATGCTTTCCAGCGTTCGCTCTCCAGCTTGTAAATGCGTCGCTGAATCTTTTTCTGGAGCCGTCTTGCTACCTCAGATCGTAAATTGATCTTGTGCATCTGTATAGCTCGTATAGCTCGTAATCTTTCCAGTTCGATGTCAAACTGAGTTATTTTAGACGAAAATAATAATTTACATTTGGACGCTTGCATAGCTTCCGCTATGGTATTTTCGAGGCTGCAGGTGAGGCCTTCTTGGCAAGCGTCCTCAACACGCGATGTAAACATCGACCAGTCAGTGCCAATTACAACACCGGAAGAGAATTTTTTATGATACCATCAGTCGTCACGTGGGTAGGTATGTGATCACTCCCATGAGTCTCAATATCAGAAAACCATTTAACTTTGTGTGAGAAGCACTGTGACACCAATGTCAGGTCAAGGCAACTGCCATACGTGAGACCCCGCAAATTTGTTAGGGTACCATCGTTCATGATGAAAAGGTCGTAATTGGAAGCGAATGTAATAATGTTCCGGCCCCTGGCATTCATCCTAGTGCTCCCCCAAAGCATGAGATGAGCCTTGAAGTCACCGGTGATGATCCAAGGCCCATCGATCCTCATTAGAATGTCTTTTATTCTGTCACAGTCAAATCGCGATGACGAAGATATATATCTACCAATAAGCGTGAACGAAACTGCATTCTTCTTTACACGAAGACACGCGTATTGATTGTCGTCATTTGAACTTATTGGGTGCGAAAGATAAGTCAAGTCTGTGCGAATGTAAACAATTACTTTGCTTCGTTCTTCGCAAGCGGCTGAATAAAAAGCTTCATAACCGGACAATCTATAAGGCGTTGATACGTTCGGTTCACATATGACAAGTATAGGGAATTGATTGGTCAGAACAAATTGGCGAAAGTCCGAGGTACGGGACTTCATGCCTCTGGCATTCCACTGAAAAATCGACGCACCTTTAACTTCAGTGCGGAAGATGAGATTTTGTTGAGCCATTGTGCTTATACGACGTAAGCAAGAACTGGATTCAGTGCATCCAGTATTTCCAGTGCACTCTTAGCAGATGGAGATTGTATGCTGCTCAGTAGCGGGCGAATCGTGGCAATTAATGATTGCACGATTGCAGTCACTTGCCTGTCTTGGTTGGAAAGATCTCGAACCGGCATCGCGTACTGGGCGTCATGAAACTCCTTCGGTTCGCTTGATGCTGCTTCCCTTTGAAGTGCAGGCCACTCTGTCGCAGTTAGGGTATGCTCACAGGCTTTGTCCTTTACAGCCTTTCCCACGGCATGTGGTCTGGGAAGCAAAGGAGGTGGTACTGATGAGGGATCTGGCAAACGTGTCGAGGAGGTAGCGGGCGTCCTTGAAGACCGACGTCGACGTGAACGATGCCTTCTGACTTTAGCTGCGGCTTCTCGATGAGATGAGTGATCGCGCATCATCTCCTTCAAGATGGCAATTTTCTTCTGAATCCGCGGGCAGTACTTCGATGTGGCTTCATGGGATCTATTACAATTAGAGCATTTCTTGACAGTTGCGACCCACTTATCCGCTTCATGGGGCTCGGCGAAGTGGTGGCATACCACCGAATTCTCGCAGACGCTGCTTACATGTCCAAGTTTCATGCATTTACGGCACTGGAGAGGCTTTGGAATGAAAGGTCGCACAGCATGTCTTAAGTACCCCACATTCACATGAGAGGGGAGTGATGTACTCCTAAAGGCAATCTTCACATAGCGAGACTTACCTAGCCGGGTGACATCAACAATTGGAGTATCAGTTGTTGACTTGACGAGAAATTGTAAGTCATTATTGGAAATAGCCACATCTATGTCGTAGATCACGCCGGTTATTACATCACATCCCAAGGGAACATGAGAGCGCACCTGGTTGCCGTCCAAGTCAGTTACACTGCGCAGAACGCCCAACGCACTTGCGTGCAAAACGTCAACAGCCAGTATATTCTTTCTGGTCTTCATTCTTATGTCCGTGATCTCATTTGGCACGAGCGTTTCCAGAGACCTCGACACAGACTGTCTGTTAAGGCGTTTCATGCTGACGGTAGGAAGTGCAGGCAGAAGCAAGATGGTATAGGCGCTCGATTTTGGCACTTCACTTACAGTTTGAATAGTTGAGGATGAGGATGTCCTCATGTTCCTTCTCTTCGCTTTGCGGCTCAGCACAGGTTGGAAACCGTCATCTGAAAAGTCCTCACTGCTGAGATAGTAAGCATGAGTATCTTCACTGTCGCTGTCACTCGCTTGTCCCATCCGCTTCCTGGAGGAAGCGGCCGCCGCTGACGCCGCTGGTGTTGGCAGGCGCCCGGGGTGGTCTACATCCATCCCCTCCAAGGGAGCAGCAAAAACAGATCAACAGACTTAAATTACCACTGAAATACACTGGAGTCAGCAGAAGTAGCTCCTATTTATGATGATGATGATGATTCCACAGCCGCGGCTCGTACCCACTCAGGGGAACGGCAAAGAATCGATGACTTAATTCAGTAAGATTTTTTTTAATATCGAAACCACCCACCAGAAAAAAGAAAGAAAAAAATACACCCTAGTCAGAATAAAAGGAGTGCAATAGTTGTTTGTCACTCGTTCAGATAAGACAACTATTCATTACATTGAATAGGAATCAGCATGGTTAAACAATGATTTTGTGTATGTTGGAATTTTTTTGCACAAATAATAATCACACAATTAAAAGCTTAATTCATTTACTTTCGTTTAGGTACTTGCAAACTGCATAGAAAAAGTTGTCGTGGCTGAAGCCCAGATCGTAAGCACAGAAGGAAAGTATGTTTTTTATAGTGAAATTCAGCCCCAGGCTAGCCAATCGCAGGACTAACAGTGTTTTCCTGAGCAATTTGTATCGGCGACTTGACAAAAAATAGTGCTCTATTGTTTCCAATTCTGAACAAAGGTTGCATAGTGGTGATATCGCCAGAGCAGCTCTATGTGAATAGAAATTTACCGGGGGGACACGACATCGAAATCTAGTTATTATGGTTTCCAGCTGTCTTGTAGGACACCAATGAATTTTCCATGGAAATCTTAAATGAGTGAATTCTGGTGTTTACAAGATTACTTCAATAGCGTCTCCACTAAGCGCAAGCTTTCTGTATTCAAAACACACTTCTTCGTCTTTCTTCTCGCTTTTTTCCTCTCCAACTTCAAGGGTGTCATGAGATCTATGAGCCCACGTTTGAATTTGTCTTGCGTTTGAAGTTATGTTTCTTCATCTACGTTCCCCTTGTTTTTATATTCACGTGCGTTTTGATAAAGACACGCAGTTAAAGTTTTGTTGCTGGTTTGATTCTTCAAAGCAGGGTGCAATGTCACGGATCCAAACGAAAAAACTTAAGAATAGCCCGTAACTTTGTTTACATCATCTACAATCAGGGTGATATAGGTGTAAACTTGACTGGAATGCGTACATCACCAGCAACATTATCGTTGCTGATGTCGCAACATCGCGTGGCTATCTTGGGGAACTGCGCATACCCGCATACATAGTTACACAAAATAATGTGATGGCACGTTTTGATCCGTGAGCACTGTAGATAGTTTTACGCAAGCCGACAAATAAACTAGTCTGATGCATTGGGGCTTGCTACTGTGTTAAAAAACTGGGGGACGATTAAGCTCCGTTTTTCATAGTGGAACGCGATAGCAGTATCGATCCTGTTTCTTGTGCGTAATTCAATCACTCAGTGTGTACTGTTTATTGCATGATGCTACTTGAACAATTTTAATTGTGGAATGGTAGTGTAATTGAGAATGTTGAAAGTGTCTCAATGAAGGTTTTGACATGGCTGCATTTTGTGTAAAAAAGGGGGCATAGTTTAAAGAACGAGAAATACTATGTAATTACTGAGTTGCGCGAAAAATTGAAATACAAAAGGAAGACACCTAGACACACACACACTGACAACTGAAACTTTGTTGGAGAAAACAGACATATATATGCGGTTACGAGAACACGTGCGGTGAAAGAAAATGATTAGATGAGCAGACAGATTGTATAAATGATGCGCTTCCAGAAAAGCTACCTCATTAGCAAGCAACATAAGCGACAGTTACGTGACACATGAATCCATAGCTTTGTTTATGGAATACGCCTCTTCGATTTCCCGCACTATGCCGTGTCACTGAATCTACCTTTAACTACCGTATCATAAAACAAGGGTGCGCAGCCACACTCTCTACAATGTGATGATTGGTTAGAGAATGGTTGTTCCTTTAGAGAAGCTTTGTGATCTACAATTATAATATTGAATCCTAAATAATACTTCCCACATGACAGCACAGTGCCGTACACCATACGATGTCACGCGGTGAAAGAAAGTGATAAGATGTCTGCTCATCTAATCATTTTTTTCCACCTCAAGTGTTCTCGTAACCGCATACACATGTTTTTTTTCTCCAATAAAGTTTCAGTTGTTAGTGTGCGCTGTGTCCAGATGTCTTCCTTTCGCACTGCAAATTTTTTCGCGCAACTAAGTTAAGATGAAGTACCAACTCGCCCAGCAGAACGTGCTTCTCAATATTATGCGTGTAAAATGTTTTAGAACTTCATGCAGCCACTACGCAGTCGTGAGGGAATACGCACAGTAACGTGTGTGCCTTTTGCAATGGTTGGTTGTCTTTAGACCGTGAAGTCACGTTGGCTAATAACGTGTTGTGATGCCCGATGGCAATGCACTCTTGTATCATGCAGTATAGCTGCGATATTAAACGTTGTGCTGTGAAACCTGTATGCAGGATACGTGTATTTGTTAAGTATGACAGTTATTTTCCTTGCATTTCCAACAAGAGGAAGTAATTCATGCTTTGTTTCCAAGCAGATGAATAGCTGTGTGGTAGAGCACTTGCTTGCCATGCAAATGGCATGCATGATTTCGATCATCACTCAAACCCGAAAATTTATAATATTTGATTTATTTGCATTCTCTCAATTTTCTATCATGGACAAGATTATTTTTTCACTGAGAGCCATTGATGCCTACGCCGGAATTTCTGCAGAACGAGCTCTTTACCGCTGTTACGTTAACGATGCATTATTGGCAGAACGGAAAGAGAGTTACGTTTACAAAAGACATTTTTAGTGTCCCGTTGGCAAGAAATATCGCTAAAAGCCTCCGTTCCCACGCGCACAAAGACCTACAGACACCAGTTTTAGCAGTCGTTCTATAGGCCATTAGTCACAATACTTATACATGACAAGCTTGCATACCAATCACTTTTGACCTAACTCCTTGAAATTTGATTATCAGCTCATTAAGTTATTCAATGCACACGCAGTTCATACGGTCAACAGCAAGTCAATATTTCGTTTTGACTCACTATGGACGCTCCATTGACATGTCAGAAAAGTTTATAAAAAACACACTGTGAAAAATACCTTTACGAAACTCAATTTCGTTCTTTTATGCTATTTATTATCGTCAAGTCGGAATCCATAAAACGGAATATTTACTTGCACTGTACTATGCCTCAGACCGGGTTGACCATAGGTTCAAAATAAGAAAAATCACATGAGAGACTGACGTATTTCAAAATGATTTCTACCAATAAAATTACAGGATGAAACCAACTGCCTTTTAGCATTGCTTCTACACTCTCAAGTATTTGTTTTATTCTATGTTAGAATTAGTGTGTTGCATTTTTTAGTGTGTTAATTTTTTTACTTATATATGTATTTCTTTTGCAGATTGTGATTGAGGTGACTGATTATTTGTTTGCCTGACTATGTATTATTTGTATTCTACTTTTCGTAAACGCTCCCCCACTGCAATGCCAATTGGTGCTGGGGGTAAAGAAATAAATAGATAAACAAAAAGTGTCAATAAATAAGCAAAAAATTTAAGCACAAAGACTGTCTCTCTTCAGGGAAAGTGGACTAACAGTGACATGTGCCCCCCACAAACTTTAAATATCATGTCAAGTTACATTTTGAGCAATTAATTATTGAGAATACCTCGAGATATAATGAGGATAGCTTAATTGAACAAGAATATTCAGGGGGTATGTACTACCTTTGTTTTGGAGATGATGGTGACTGCGTGCAGACCTTTCAACAAACAGCTATATTTCTAGCTGAAGAATGATTTGTGCCGCTATAATTTTTGCGGCGACACAAGCTGAACTAATATAGATGAATCATCTGAATAGCTATATATAAAGGTATCCATATAAGGCCATATGTGAAAGCACCCATTTAAGACCTTATATGGATGCTTCTATACATAGCCATATATTGCCATATACAGCAACACACAAATGTGGGCATATAAGGCCAATATATGGCTACATGAGGAATGGGGCATATCAGGTTATATAGAGCCCATATAGGGGGATTCCATATAAAGCCAGATATGCCCAATTCCTGATGTAGCCATATATGGGGATTTTTATATAAGTCCATATATAGGATTTTTTGTATGGGTAGCCACCGCTTGTATTCACAGCGGTCATTAAATGGCGCTGGGGCGGTCGCATCGCTTGTACTAGAATATTTCACTAGATGATGCTGTGGCACTGGCTCCACTTCGATGCGTACGTGCTCTCGTTGTGATAGCATACCGTGTTCGCTCTTGCGTTAAAATGCGTTCGCTGTTGGTGCGCTTCCTCCTTCACACCAATCTGTGTGTTTGAGTATGAGCGAAGAATACAAGGTGGCGTAGCTGAGGGCTCGGAAAAGGGCTACAGCGCACGTGCTCATTGTCTCTACAGGTAGATTGACTGGACAAGATGTACGGAGATTTCACGGTTTACCTATGTGCCTCTGAAGCTCCGCCCACTAATCATCATTCACTCTGAATATGCTGTGATTTTCTTGAGTGATGACGAAGTAACAAATTTATTGTCATGTGTGTTTTGCTGATTTTCCATTTAGCGAAACTCAGCAAAGTTTGCATAAATATTATTATCTATTTATTCATTTATTTATTTATTTATTTATTTGTTTATTTTTTATTTATTGGAGGTGCAATGTAAAACCTCAAAAGCGGTAGCAGCGTCCGTGCAGAAAGAGCAAGAGCTGGCCGGGTATACCGGCAGCGTTGCAGCAGCAACCAGGTAGCCTTAGCTCGCGCCTCGCGCCAGCGTGTCGATGTCGCTGCAGTAGTGGGCATTCTTCTTCGCAACATTTTTTCGACCGTCGGAAAAGAAACCATCCTGGTGACTTACGAAGAACGGAGTATGAGCTAATCGTAATAACGTTTCAACCATTGTACGTGAACGGTTTTAAGAGCCCGAAAATACTGGTCTGTGGTTGGTGTAAAGGGTTCGACGATGAGTTAACAAATAAATCCGCGAGACAACGCTGCAGAGTATCTGGTATTTTGAAACGAGTTTCGAGGAAAGGCCTGTAGGAACAGTGGCAACAGGGTGCCCGGAACAAAGTTAGGGTACGGCTGGTTATCGTCACGTCGAGATTTTCGTCTCTATGGTCGACGGTTGTGAACGACTGGGCGAGTTTACGGCATTCCTCGGCGCGGCGGGCAGCTTCAGAGATGGGCGTGGACTCGGAGGAATCGGGGTGGTAGGGCTGAATGGTATCTAGTGTGGTAGAAGGGTCTTGATCATATAACAGAAAAAAATGGCGACAAGCTGGTAGTCACCCGTAGAACAGTGTTATATGCGTACGTCACAAAAGGCAGAGTTAGGTCCCTATCGGAGTTGTCTCAGGCAACATACTTAAATATCATGTTCCCTAAGGTACGGTTCAATCTTGCCGTCAAGCCATTCGTTTGCGGATGGTAGGCGGTGGTAGTCTGGTGAATGATATGGCATTCGGCAAGGAGTGCGTTGACGATCTTAGAGAGGAACATCCGTACTCTGTCACTGAGAAGTTCACGTGGTGTGCCGGGACGGAGAATGAAGTTCGGCAGGAGAAACTATAATTTGTGACGTGCTGTGGCAGCAGGCAAATCAGCTGTTTGTGCGTATCGCTTCAAGTAGTAGACAACAACATCGATCCAACTGTTTTCAGAAGCTATGAATGCCCATACAGAGCAATTTCAACGCGGTCGAAAGGCCTGGCTGGGCAAAGAATTGGCTGCATAAAACCAGAGGCATGATTACGGAGAGCTTTGCGTCGTTGGCACTGCGGGCGTGACTGAATTTACTTGCGCACAAAAGTGTACATGCCTCGCCGATAAAACCGGGAGGAAAGCCGAGCGTATATTTTGAAGACGCCCGCATAGGCGTACTGAGGGTGAGCGTGGAAAGGTGAACATATTGCAGCACTAAGATGGCGAGGAATGACCAGTAACCACTTTCGGCAGTCATACTTGTATTTGCTGCGATAAAGGAGGCCATCGCGGACCTCAAAGTGAGCCGCTTGAGGGTGCAACGTTCGAGAAGATGGAGAAATCGACGCTTCTGGAAGGAATAGCAGAAGAGTGCTGATCCAGTCAACCTTACTTGCTCACACGCTATACCACAGTTTGCTGGGAACGCAACCGTTTTGTCCACGACAGATTGACATGCAGAGCTTTCGGAGGACGCCAGTGAACGTGATATGGCGTCGGCATCAGTGTGACGATGGCCATACCTGTAGACAACACGCATGTTGATCTCTTTCACCACAAAGCCCAGCAAGCTGGCTGGAGGGGTCTTTAAACGTAGATTACCAACAAAGCGCATGGTGATCGGTGACTACATCGAAGGGGGGACAATATTGGTACGTTCTAAATTTAACTAGAGCCCAAATTATTGCCAGACACTTCTTCTTCTCAGTGCGTAGAAGTTAAGTCAAGGGGGCGGTGACCATCGCAAGATTCCGACTAAAGCGGCGGAAATATAGGCAGAGGCCAAGAAAGCTGCTCAGATCCTTCCGAGGCGCAGGTTTAGGGAACTCTGCTACTGCTCGAAACTTGGCGGTGACAGGAAGAATGCTGTTTTTACAGACAACTTGGCCCAGGAGGGTGAGCTGACTTGCGCTGAAGTGGCATTTCTTCAGGTGGAGTTGAAGACCGGCGTCAGTTAAGGCACTGCAGTACATCATCTAGCCTGAGGAGATGCGTTGGGAAATATGGTGAAAACATAACCACGTCATCATGTAGCACAGGCATTTTTCCACTTCAGGCCACGCAAAACATTGTACATAATCTGCTTGAATGCTGCGGGTACATTGCAAAGACCGAAAGGCATGACACAGAATTCGTAAAGGCCATCAGGTGTGACAAAGGCCGGCTTAGGCTGATCTTTAGGTGCCAGAAGGACTTGCCAGTCGCCGCTCCGTACGTCAATAGAGAATAACTGCGCACTTTCGAGGCAGTCAAGGGCATCGCCGATTCTCGGTAAGGGGTAAATATCCCTTCGAGTTATTTCGTTAAGACGATAGTAGTCAAGACAGAAGCAAATTGACCCATCTTTCTTCTTAACGAGAATGACTGGAGATACCGAGGAATTATTCGAATGCTGGATGACGCCACGCTTGAGCTTGTCAGCTACTTGGTCATTGATATCCTGGCGCTTGGCTGTGGTGACGCGATAGGGTCTTTTACGCAGTGGTGCATTGGTACCCGTGTTGATGCGGTGATACACAGCTGACATGCGGCCGAGGTGAGAATGCTGGCAGTCAAAAGAAGAACAGAACTTGTCCAGACGTCGTAGAAGATGAGTACGTTGCGAAATGGGTTGAACGTGTCCGCATTGGAGCTGCTCAGTATGTCGGGCCTAGTAGTTATGCAGCGAAGAGGCACAGGTCACTGCGGTGACTTCGTGTTTGGTGGAAGGACCAGTCAGCATTTCGAGAATGGCAGAAGGGTCGAGACTGTAAACACGCCCGACGCACTCATTCTAAAGTAGTGTTACAGGACATGACAACAGATTCGATATGAGCAGTCTGCTGACGCCGTCATGCGGGCATAAAGTAGCGGCTAACACTTCGCGATGGACAAAAAGAGCTGACGGCAGTGAAAAGGGCACTCGACTCGGCGAGCGAGTTGCAAGACACCATGAGAAGGGCAAAAGAGTGCGGTGGTATGGTGACGTCTTCAGCAACAAATACTTTGTCCCTTGTTGCAAGAGCATCACATAACGCAGCGTCGCCAAACACTTCAAATGCCACCTCAGCGCGAGAGCAGTCGATGACGGCCTTATTAGTGGAGAGAAAGTCCCAGCCCAAAATGAGGTGATAGAAGCAGAAATCCAACACTAGCAATTCGACGACATAGGTGAGGGCATCAATCACAATGCGAGCAGTACAGGCAGCGGCCGGCGTTACGCGCTCTGTGCTGACTGTACGAAGCGATATACTTGCTAGCGGTGTCATAACCTTTTTGAGCAAGCGGCAGAGTCTGGCATTGGTCGCTGAAACTGCGGCACCACTGTCGACAAGAACCAGTGCAGTGACGCCGTCCACATATACGTCGAGAACATTCATCGGTGAAGAGAGAGTCCTTGGTCTTTTTGTGGGTGACGCAGCTCGTGCCTCGGGAACTGCGGCAATGAGTTTTTCCACTTTTGGAAGCAGCGTTTGAAAGGCGTCATCGAAAATGCCTTTCATTATATGTCGTACCTTGTCAGTTTTCGCCATCGTCGGGTCGACACGCTGGCAGAGGTCGAGGAGGTCCTCTATGGAGCTGGTGAATGTCTCACAAGTTTGTTGGTACTGGCTTCATATGCGTTGTTCTGCGCGAAGTTTGCGCACACCAGGGCGTCCAAAAACATCTGCGATGCGGGTTTTGAAGGTATTCCAAGTGGGGATATCCACATCGTGGTTTCTGTACCACAGTTTGGCAACATCCGTTAAATAAAACATCATGGTACCGAGCTTCCTGGGATCGTCCCAATTGTTGGCAGCGCTGGCTCGTTCATAGTATTCCAGCCAATTCTCAACTTCTTTCTCGTCGGTGCCACTCAAGATTTCGGGTTCTCGCAAGAGCTGGGCACCCGGACGGCCCCTGCGTGGCGAAGGCCGTCCGGGTGCCCAGGTGTCCGGGTGTCGGGGGGGTGAAGACAACACTGTGAGGCATGGCGAACGCCAGTTTTCGGCTGCGCAGTTCCAGGGCCGGGGACAACCGCAGCACCTTCAATAAAATATAATGTATATGCAACCTCAAAAGTGGTAGCAGTGTCGGGGCAGAAGCAGCAAGAGCTGGCCGGGTATACGGGCAGCGTCACCGCAGCAACCATGCAGCGTTAGCTTGTGCCTCGCGCCATTGTGTTCATGTCGCTGCAGTAGTGGACATTCCTCTTCACTACAAAGGAAATGGCTCGGACTTCGGCTGCACGCTTTGGCTGTTTGTACTAAGGAACTTAAACAATCAGTCGAACTGTTGATTCACCAGGACCACGCCCCGCAAGGCAGTCTTGTTCAATCGACAGTTCATCTTTGAGCGTCGAAAATCCTTGCATTTTGATAAGGTTCTCGGCTGGCCATCCTGTCAGCGTATATTTGACGACCCCATTTAAAAGAATGTCCCTCTTGGTTTATTTTGCAACCTGTGCTAGGTTGAGTGGTGTGGCGTCGAAAATGGTCAAGCACTTAGGTTCATTGTCAGGAGTTTCCACCGATAGCGGCAATCTTGAAACGGCATCAGCTACTTGCATGTTATTTCCGCATCTATACTTCTGATTGCATTGGCGTGCAGCGAGCGTCATCGCCAAGCGTTGAATTCTTGCTGTTGCAGGCAGTGGTACTGTTTATTATGTCCGAGCAGCGCTAAAAGAGGATGATGATCCATGCAAAGGCTAAAGCGCCGCTCATACAAGTAACGACGAAAACGTCCCAAGTCGAAAATGACGGCGAGAGCTTCCTTTCCCCTTGTGAGTAGTTACGTTGGCTCCTTGTCAATGTTTATTTCTTGTCAGTAAAGTATTCGACAAACGTTACTGGTCTCTCACTGCGGTCTGGCATTTCGTTAAAAAATCACCGCTCTGAGACCGTAGGCTGACGAGTCAAAATTGAGCCCCAACGGCTTCCTGACGTCGTAAAATGTCAGGATTTCACTGCCGCGAATCATAGTTTTTGTAGCTTCAAATGCGTGCTTGCAATAATTTGCTCAGCGCCACTTCGGTTCCTTCTTCAATAACTCGTACACAAGCACATCCACCGTGGCGAAGTGCGACAAAAGTTGTAGAGATTAAGATGTCCGAAATATGCCCTAATTTCCATAAGGTACATCGGCTTTGGAGCGTCTTGAATTATCTTTATTTAGTCTGATGTCAGGTAGATTCCATCTGCGGAGACCTTGTGTCCCAAGTACGTCACCACTTCGCGAAAAAAATGGCTTTTCGCCTTTTTAGACGTTGTAGTGATTCAACCGCTCTGAACTCTTCTTCACTGTGTTTCTTCCAGTGACAATGATATTGAGTATGGGAGAGTTCACTTGCGGGACGCCTTTTTGTATCTTGTCCATCATTGCTTTAAATATTGCTGGTAAACTTGCGATTCAATAAGGTAGTCGCTGAAACTAATAGAAGCCAAGATGTGTATTCACTGTCAGTAGTGGTTTAGACTCTGCACTAAGCGGCACTTGTTGGTAAGCAGAAGATAAGTCTAACAAACAAAGCACCTTGCCACCTGCAAGCATCGAATACAAATCTTCCTTAAGAGAAAGTGTGTAAGGGTCTGTTATCAGTATTTGGTTTACAGATACCTAATAGTGACTGTAGAGCCTTATATCGCCTCTCTGCTTAGGAACTACCAGAAGAGCCCAATCGCTCTGCATTACTCGCTTTATGATTCCGTTTTCTTCCAAGCCTTTGGAGTTTGACGACAACTTTTTTCTTGAGAGCAAATAGTCCTGCAAGCCGTCACCTGGCATGCTGTCCTCTGCAAAAACAATTCCAGGCGAATGCCTTTCCTAGTCCAGTCCGCCTAAAGCAGATATATTCGAACAAACATCGAGAAAAACGTGCAATTGTGCCTGGAATGGAGAAGAAACATTGCAACACATGTAATGACGTTGTAGTATAGCTGCCAGCACGATGGCAGCTACTGCGGGGACCCTGTCGTTGAGATGAGTAACCACTTTGCGCAGGTCAGACATCGGTATCCAAACGTGGGCAGCCCAGCAAGCATGCTGGTGGCGTTGAGGCAAGCGGTCGATGTTCACCCGTGGGATACCTAAACGCGGGTCGTGTTGAACTTTTCCTGACGTTAAATTAACTATTATTCATCCATCCATTCATCCCGAATCATGCTGAAATAAAGGAGGCCAGTATATGTGAATTCGACAAGTATATATTTAAGTGGTATTTTGCCGGCGAAAATTTTTAGGGTGCCTAGAAAGCGCGTGGAACATTGCGCGTGGACTTCAAGCATTGTCACGCAGAAGTTTCGCAAACTTGCCTAATCAAGCTATTTTATTATGAACAAAATTTTTCCTGAAGGCATTAATCTTCCGTGGCTGATAGTATAATGTTCTTTGTCTCAGCTTTCATTATGTTTGGCCGGAAGAAGACTCACAAAAGGACAGAGATTCAACGTTTTATTTAGAACTGCCCATGTTTTTGCGAAAATTATATTCACCTTGTGGCCATTAGTAGAAGAATCTGTTGCTTAGTCTGTTGGCACATAGTCGAAAGAAACAGAAACAACCAGCTTAAGGACGCGTACACAAGAAGACAAGATGACAGAGGCACGCTGTTCTCTGTCTGTCGTCTTCTCTTCTTTTGTACGCGTCCCTAAGCTGATGTTGCAGTTCTTATTATTAGTAGTTTTTGCGAGCATAGTAATCGAGGCAGAAATACTTCAATATAGAGTTAGGGGGGAACTTTGTGAGAGTATTCTAACAAAGTTGAAGTACTCTGAATTTTGTCCCAAAATGTTGCTTCGTTTCTCCGACGTATCACTCCAAGCTAAAACATACCTCATGCATCACCGAACGGCATTGTTTGTCGGTAATGCCTTAAACGATCGTCATTTTGAGCTTGGTTAATCTGATGTTGCCATTGTTTTGAACTGACGCCCTGGTCCCGCCGGAACCTTGTGTATTTACATGAGAAACAAAATCCGATACATCCGCAGAGATCCCACACTTTTCTCCGCTTCTTGCAATGTCTACCCAAATGAAGCAAAATTTGTTGCAAAACTTATTGAAGCGAAATTGGTTGCGAAAGAGAGATGTAAAAGAACGAATTAAGAGCGTTTTTGAGCATACGACAGTTCCTAGTCACCTGAAAAGTGAAGGGGGGATGCAATGCCACCAAAAAATGAGAGGAGGGACGCTGTGGCGAACATTTTTGAAAGAAATAAACTATGTTAGTGCGCAGGGAACCTTTAAGAAAAAAGAAAGATATGAAAGAGCGCCCATAAGTCCCCCTGAAAGGAAGCCCTACGCATGCATATCCCTTGATATCATTCAGCTCGAGGTTCTCCGGTTTCTCCCCTCTCCTCCATAGTGCACTCCTTCGAACCTAAGAGCAGTGGAAGATGCCCGCTGCGAGGGGGCTTCCCGATGTCCGCCAAACATTATTCCAATGGGCCCGGAGGGTAGCCGAGACCACCATATTGAAGACAGGCTGGGATTCCGCTCCACATCTTCTGTCTACGGTTATTTAAATAATATATTTTCTCTCTCTCGCTTCCTAAACTTGCTTTGCCTAGGCGGAATACCTCGCTTCGCAGAGTACCCAGTCATTGGAGAGAGAAAACATTGGAGAGAAACATTGGAGAGAGGAAAGTTTAGGAGTGAATAGGAGCACGAGAGCAAATCAATAATTCAAAATCAATTGTATTTGGAAGTGGGATTAAAACTCAGTTGCCCGTGGTGAAAAATAAAGCATCGTTAGCCCTCGGCTACTCTGACACTTTTTTTTTCATTTCAGTGTTCTCGTTACAATACCCTTGTACAATCATCACAACATTATTGCTCATTGTGGAACTCCCTCTGACAATCTACGATACCAAGCGTTCGCTTTTTGTTCAGCTTGTGCTGAGAAAGAACGCCTCCTCTGCTTTATTTTTAATAGAGGAAGTGCAGGTAGCATAACTCGTTAACAATCTGGAGCACTGTGTGTACCCTGCAATAGGGCATTTAATCTGAAATATACCAGATGTGCTCTCCCGCCACTGTTCTCTGGAGCCCTTTATTTCCGTATTTTGCTCTTAGAAAAGTTTATTTAACCAGTAAACACAACCACTGGGGACACTTATACACTTAAACTTCAAAATCGCGTCAGTATATTTTCCACCACGCCGAGACGCCATTCTACACAGACATCAATGTTGCACTGTGCCCTACTACGAAACTATGAAAAAAAACGCATTGCCTTTCAAACAACTGAAGAGAAAAGGAAAGAACAGAAAGAAAAAAAAAAGGCGGGAGGGTCAAACAGCATAGTGAGTCGGAGGAAGACTTGTTTCTGTTTTCGGTAGGGCACTACCGAAATTTCAGGTCTTCCTCAGGGAAGAATACTCCGAGACATAGTGGTTCGAGCACCGGCCACTGTACAGCATTTAAACTTGGTGTGTTCTTTAAAATCATGTGTGTAGCTCCAGCTTCACATCAATCTCCACTTCAACAAGCTTACTTCAAAAAAAAGTTAGCAGTGGCTTATCTCAAATATGCCAGTATATACAAAGCGTGATCTAAGGGGGTGCTACTAAACTCAACGCTTAAGGCATGGCGCTAAGTCTATCATGTGTCACAGCTTTTTACACATGTCGCACACATAATTGTGCCACGTGTGTGAAATGAAAGAATTGTTCACGAAGCCCGTCTCGAGGGTCCGAGTCGCACTGGCACTTTTGATAAGCTTCACCCTATGGTGAGAACATCAGCCTCCTGGCTACGCCACTTTCGTAGACGTTCCTCACTTTGTCCAATGCCTTCACAGCACGTTTAGCTTTCTTGTGTTCTGTAAATTATTCTGCGAATATATTGAATCCTTGTACTTTACTACTTATGTTACAAAAAAATCTTAAATAAAAGCTACACTATAACTGAACCCTTCTGTAACAGCAGGCACACGGAAACTGTGCTTGCGGTAGGTATTGTAGGATAGTTAGCAAGAGTCATTTTACAGATGCACACACGTTTCTTTTCTTGTAGCATGGTTAAGCGTGAGATTGAGAAGTGAAGCCAGAGACAGGGTCAGAATACATTTGCACGTTCTGCCCTTGAACGTGAAATTCTTGCCCCCATAGTTTTTGGGTGTTGTTAGCGGACGCTGGGATTTTTCTCGCTGAACCACAATCCTTTATTTTAAGTGCTCCAAGAAATCGGTAATGAGCACTCGAGAGTACGTCCAAATTGGTCTCAATATATTGCGATTGCAGCGCCAATATGAAAGAAAAATAGATCAAATGCCAGTTAGTTCAATACCAGCCTTGTGGTATTTACTCCCAAATGTGTATTCTGTTTATTCTTAGGTACCAGTGTAGTGTGATACAGCGAACATTTTTGGGTATTTTTCTCGACTTTGCCGCACGAATATGAAGAGTAGAGCTTCGGATCTGTCGAAACGCACAGGCCGCATTATTCCGAGACTCTTCTGCCCAGGTGTTGCATTAGTATTAAAATATTTACTATTGACAAAAAATTTGGCTTGACATAAATATATATTACCTTTCATATATGGCTTAAAATGTGCACTGACTATTTGTAGGATGTTTTATCTTCTTTATTGCTGAAAGCGGTCTCATTTCTCGGAATTTGATTAGCAGTTGTCAAGGGATCTGGTAGAGTATTGCGATGCTCAACTGCAATCTTTGACGTCACTTGCTATGCCGCCAGACACTGTAAAGTTAGCTCGAGCAGCTCTGACATTTGTTGCAAGTAACCGTGTATAGCCTAAGCCCGATGTGTTACGCCAGCTTAGTTTAGAACTTGGGAAATGAGGCTAGCAGAAAAACGTTTTCTTTAAATTGCGCTGCAATGGATGTAAAGTAGTGAAACAGCGTTGCTGTGCCAAGAAGCCAGAAATAGAAAGCGCCAGGGCTAGCTAAAGTAATAGTGGAAAGTAAAAGTGCGAAAGGAGTGAGAGATACATGTACAAACAAAGAGACGCAACTAGGAAAACAAGTAAGCTTAAGGATAGGCACATAGAGGATTGTAATACGCATGTTTTGCCAGAACGACTATTTTTTTCTATATTTTTTACCCAGGGGGGAGTGATGCAGCTGTAGAGACTTTTAGTAAACGACCTCTCATGCAACTGTATTGCACACGGTTCGACCAATGTAATACGAACGCATTTTTTCAGTTCTGTTGAATAGTCACATTCAAAAAGTAGGAACACTGTAATCCAACAGTGGGCTAGAAGCTCCAAGAATATAGTAAGACGCGAACACCGATGTTACTCCCTGCTTGCCATTACTGCGTGAATAGGCCACTGATGACAGTGCGACAGTGTACATTCACGCTATGTGTGATAAATAGAAATTGTAAGGGATAATGTTTGTTTTGCATAGGACATTTTATTCATGTGTCAATTCGATAGAAGAAGCAGTATGTACAAAATATATTCGTTACACCTATTCAACTCTACATTCTCATGTCGCCTTTTGTGCATTTAGGGGGTGACAGTAGTCCAAATCATCCGTGTGACCTGAAATAAAGAGAAAATACAGAAATTGTTTGACAAGCGGTAAAAGAATTCGCGCTGTCTAGTCTCATGACTTTTCGAGTGTGTTAGACCTCTCTGTGTTCAAGGAACTTTGCTTACTCGATGGTCTTGAACTTGGCGGTAAGGCGCAGATCATTCTTTATCCGAAGATGTGCAAGCCTATACTGCGAGTGTATGATTCACCTGAGTAAATCCTCTGAATTATGCAAGGGAAG